TTTCTTAAAAAAAGTAATTATAATCATACAAAAGTAATCTAACCCCAAACTTTTGAACGGCAGTATATTTGAATATTCCAATAGTTTACATCAACGAGAGAAATATAAAGCTAATAAAAACCAAAAGCTGCACACCTGAAACTGGAATAATCTAGAAAATAATGTCTGAATGTAGTCTGTGTTAAATTTGAGTGAATTGCTTTGAGTTTACAGTCAGATGTTTTAGTGTTAGTTTAGTCTGGTAATGTCTCTGGAAGGTGTGTGAACGGTCCTGCAGTCATGTGATCATACGGGGGCGAGATGCTGCAGAAAACGTGCGGCTCAAATGAAGTATAGCACATCAGAGACACAGACAAACCTGCTGCTGAACAGACACACACACACACACACACACACACACAGTGCTGCAGTGATGTAATTTGTAGTGAAATCACATTAGCGTGTGTGTGATGGGCGCCGTACACAGAACATCTGTTACTGACACACAGCGTTTGATTGATGCCTCTGCTTATGTGTGAGTGCATGTAAACAGGTAACAGTCTTTACAGTGAAAATATGCACATGAACACAGTACTGTATGTAAAACCCTAGCATTTACTGTTATTCCTGCTTCATTTCACACTTTCTGTCCAGTGTTTTTGTCTTTTTTTTTAATGTTAAAATACTGTAATAATGTGCAGAGTGTATAGAAGCTATACGTTTATGATCTAATTTCATTTCTGAGACAGAATTACACTTTTACTGCATTATAGACCATTTACAAGCAGAAAAATAGATTAGCAGTGTTTGCTCGACTGTTTTGTGTTTCAGTCTTGAATGAGATGCTCGCGTGCATGTTTTTTATCGACTGCAGTCAGGAATGAATAAATAAGGGCACTTACTAGGCATCAGAAGTCTATTGGTTTCAGTGATGCATCAGGTATGTTTTTGAAGTCTCTTCTGCTCACCAAGGCTGCAGTTATTTAATTAAAAGTACAATAAAAATAGTAAAACTGTGAAATATTATTACAATTTAAAATAGCTGTTTTCTATTTGAATGTATTGTAAAATGTAATTTATTCCTGTGATCAAACCTGAATTTTTCAGCATCATTACTCCAGTCTTCAGTCTCACATGATCCTTCAGAAATCAGTATAATATGCAGATTTGCTGCTTAAGAAACATTTCTGATTATCATAAATGTTGAAAATAGTTGTGCTGCTTCATATTTTTTGGAAGCTGAGATGCAATGTATTTTTCAGGATTCTTTGATGAATAGAAAGTTCAAACAGCATTTATTTGAAATTGAAATGTCTTTACTGTCGGTGGTTTGACCAGTTTAATTTGTCCTTGATGAATACAAATATTAATTTCTTTCAAAATAAAAAATAAAACTTTTAACACCATCTTTGCAGCGAAATAAAGACCAATCAGAATTCAGTATTATAATGATGTCATTGCAGCTTACATTTAAATGCAGAATATTCGAACTTGTTTTTAAGTATAAAACGTGTAAATAGCAAAAATTGCGCACCTAAAGCTGGAATAATCTACAAAATAATGTTGTGCAGAAAATGCATGTAAAGCTTTCAAATGAGACACAGTTGGTTACAAAAATAATCCCAGAAGTGATAAACCTTCATGTGCTTATAAGGGACAAATGATACATAGATATATTTAATGTATATTTTATGTAATCGCTGTATCATACTCTTTCTATGCTTGCACTATGAAACTAAAAAATGGATGAATGACTCTCTTCTGCTCATGTCATCCCATTTTTGTAGGTTTTTTGCATCAACTCATCAGCTAAATGAATGAATGTCATGTTAAGGGTGTGCAGTGACTATAATTAGCTTTATATAAAGCAGCAGAAGTCTGTAGCATGTCCTCGTTCGTGTGTGTGTGTCCTTGAGTGTGTTTTCAGGGGTCTTTGTGAGAGTTGGGCTCTGAAGGGGGTCGTGGGCAATTAAAGCACACATGCAGCGCTGCTATACCATCTCACACACACACACACACACACACACACACACACACGCAGTCGCGCATCCCTCCTCTGCTCTCATGCACCTCCCACCTCAGCATGTGAATGTTTAAGTGATCTTTATTGTGTGCAGAGTAAACAGAGAGAGCGAGGGAAGCCGTGTTGAACTCAGACCAGCCGAGCTGCGTTGTGCTGACAGCAGGACGAGAGACAGACAGATATAGAGAGAGCGAGAGAAACGGCAGTGTGTTGGTTTAATGTGGAAATCATCCTCTCTGAGCTCCATGGCAAACTCTGCATGCGTGCTGCTGTCCGGCTCCGGGATGCTGCCTCATTCGCTGCACGCGCCGCCTGCCTTCCTCTACTTGTCCGAGGTAAGGATCGTACCGCTTTTATCCGCTCTGAATGAACGTGCTTTTCTGACCTCTGACCTCTTCTCCGTTTGGGGTCAGTGCTCTGTTTATAGTCCACTTTTTCCATGCTTTTCTCCTCTGTTCGCTCCATTGTTTAGGCTTATTAACTTACTTTCATGGTCATTTTATAGGTGACATTAGTTGTTTGTATCTAGTTTTGTAGTTGGGGAATTTAATGTGGAAATGTCGCTTTGTGATCACAAAACGGAAGTCTGTCGCTCATTTTAGGTCACAATTAGCAAACTTATGCAGCTTTTTATGCAATATTATGCAGATGCGCTCATGAATTATACAGGATTTCTGTGACTTTTCCCTGTTTTTAATGATCTTGAATTGCTTTGTAGAATAAGACATCAGATTCTTCACTGGTTTGTAAAGTCAGCAGGGTTTTGTGTTTGAAGTTTTTATTGAAGATGCATCATATATAAGTGACTGTATACATATTGGTATATACCTGCCTTTTTAAAATGATTGATAAATCTATCAGTGTTTTCGCTGATCAAAATTGGTCTGAATTGGCCGATATAGGAGCTACTGATTTTTTAATTCAATAATTAAATTAATTTTCTATAGGATCTTATATGCTGTATATTATACTGTTCAAACATCTGATTTGACTTTCAAACACTTATTATTATGAATTGATCGTGAGTATGCCATTAGATTGTGTGCAGTTTAGATACAGATGTGCACATGTCAGAAAGAAAGGTGTTTTCCTCATTTTAGCTCATAATCACCGATATTAGCATATGCAGATACTCTCATGAATTATTCAGGAGCTAAATGTTCTTCATTTACTCAAATTACTTTGTTGAATTAGTCATTAGATTGTGAATTTGTTTAAGTGCACAGGGGTTTGTTTTGAAAATGTTTTATTTTTATTAGCGGTGCTTGATTTATCGGTTTGTACATGTCCATATCAACCAATATAAGCGTTGCAATTTCAATAAATGCTCGATATTGATCTGAATTTGCTTATGGATTATATATATATATAATGGATAATCAATATATGTGTTTATTTGTTTTTTGTATGTATTTATTTATTTATTTAATAATGAAATATTAAAATATTGTTTTGTTTTTTTTAATATTTTATTAGCATTGACTGATTTATTTATTTATTTATTTACCTACTTACTTAAGTCTTTTTCTGTACTAGGATTTATAAGTACTAAAGTAATTTATCTTTTCTGTTGTACATGATAATGTTTTGATGTTTGAATTTATGTAAAATATGTAAAATTGTAGATTAGTGCTTCAGTATGAACAGTGTTTTTTTAAACATCATGCAAAACAGTATAGATTTATATCATATTGTTTACGAGTCATACAAATAATTATCATTATTAGCCAACAATTTAAAAATGTTTGACATTTAAAATATGTATTTATTGTTTTTAAAATGTTTTATTTTTATTAGCAATGCATGATATATCAGTTTCTACATATCAGTATCAAACAATATAACGGTCTCAATTTTAAATCAGTGATATTGGTCTGAATTTGTTGTTGTTTTAATTAGATAATGGCATGTTTTTATTTCTTTCATTTAAAAATACATTTGAAATAATATATATATATATATATATATATACATACA